GTGGGGAACACATGAATTGCGACCAAGTTCCCTTCTACTACTCTTTGGAATATTACACTAGAATTCTTTTTCTCAGAACAACATGACTTGGTAGAAAACATTCATGCCTGTTGTGATTTTAAACATAAAAAGCGAATAAAGCTTCCTGAGTGACCCTGTTGAAAGTAGCTTACAGAGCAGGACGCCCACCCTCGCAGTTCCGTGGCCTGGTGTCTTTCTCGGGACTGGCAGGCAGGTGTTTCATCTGCGGACGCTGTTGACTCTCAGGTATTTGTGAGACTGCCCTTTGGTCATTGCCCCGATCCTGACTGTCCCAGAGGGTGTGAGAGGACGAGCTCAGAACCTTCAGAACACACAGCAAATGGAAAGTGAAAGCAAAGGCGGGTCCGTTTAGAATGCTCCAGTCCACTTTACCCAAAAAAAGGTCCGGATGTCCTGACGCCAACCGCAAAGCTAAGATTTGCATAAAGAAACAGTCCTGTAAGTGAACAGCCACGCCCTCTTCTGTCTGACGAACCGAGAGAGAGAAGCTTCCGGAAGCTTCTAGGAGCTCCAGAAGCAGCATCTACAGCTGCGACCCACTCCTTCCCATTTGGAGCAAGGTCCCCGAGCGCCCTGTGGCATCGCAGCTGACTCCACACCTGCGGGAACGGCCCCCTGCCCCTCCCCTCTGGCCCAAACAGAAAAGACGCGAAGCGAGACAGATGCGTGCTGGCGGGGCCGCGGGAAGCTGAGCCGCTCAGGAGTCTAGGGAGGCACGAAGCAGGGACGTTGGGCCCGGGCTCAGCTGCTCTCAGGAGAGGATGCTCTGTGATCTGCACCGTCTGTCCCATGTCATGGGGTTACCCTGTAAAACTTCTTCCAAAAAACACGCGTGGGAAAGGTCCAAAAACTCAGTTTCTTGTCGCCAGTCGTACCTCCGGGATTAAAACACACAAAGTGCTGTCTGTACACAGATGTGAAGCCAACGTCTTCATATAAATTGTGAAATCAAGTCTGAAAATACTAGAGAAGCAATATATTCCTTTTTTTCTTTTTTTTTTTAAAAAATATATCTTTATTGATTTCAGAGAGAAGAAGGGAGAGGGAGGGAGGGAGAGAGACACATCAGTGATGAGAGAGTCACTGATCGGCTGCCTCCTGCACACTCCGCTCTGGGGATCGAGCCCGCAGCCCGGGCGTGTGTCCTGACCGGGGATCGAACCGCGATCGCCTGGATCCTAGGTCGATGCTCTACCGCTGAGCCACGCCCAGTCGGGCAATGTACAATATTTCTTAGAAGTCTGTAGTATGAGACAAGTAATATGGTTAATCTGATTCATAACGTATTTAAGAAAAAAAAAAATCATTCTTTTTCATGCTTGGCACTTTTTATAACTATTGATCTTTTAAAATTATTTTCCGATAGGAACATTCCTCCCCTGGCAGCGGTGACCTGAACTCCTACAGAGATTCTTTAAAGAAATACCATTGCACGTATTTACTGATCAGTGTTCCCCTGGTGGGGAAATGCTCTAGGAAGGTAATTATTTAAAGGTTAGGAAGAAAGGGAATTGTAGCTTTTCACAGAGTGACCTTTGTGGACCAGTTTTAGAAAAAGAATTTGCTTCGCTTTCCAAACGCGGATGAGGGCCTGACCGACCCTCGGTTTCAGCTGTGTAAACACTGAGCTTCCAAACTGCTTGGAAAGAAAAATCAGAGCAAAACTTGAAACAACCAAAGTAAAACCAGAATAATACAGTGATATTATTGATTGTTTCCCTGTGCAATAACCTGTGAATTTCCTTCCAACGAAAAAGTGGGGGGGGGGCAAAGATAATTTGATTTCTTAGTTTCTGCGCTGTGGGGATAACTTAGAACATTGTAGTAAGCGGTATTTGATATAATATGATTTCTGACATGCTTTGACTTAGAAGCTTCGGTTTCTGATTACCTATGAGTCTAGCAGTCTTCTTGGGCCACTGTATAGTATTTCCTTTTGCAATGCAGACCACGACATACCTACAGCTTCATATGCAAGGGAAAAAAACAGTCACGGGGCCCTCTTTTAGCACAAACTGTAAACTCGACTGGCAAAACTGCTTGTGTTGCTGATTTAATTTATATTTCTAAATGCGCTCATTAATAGCTGCATTTTTAGGCAACTGTATAAAATAATTGAGCTGAGTTAATAGTAATAGGGTGTCAGTTGGGGGAAAGTTTATGAAATGGTCCATGGAGTTCATGATTGATTTAATAATAATTTAAAATGCCTACCCCTAGTGTTCCCCGGTGACTCCATGGGTAAGAGCTCGGAGCCCTCCCGAGGAGAATGAACTGGCGGTGGTCTTGCACGGGCGCGGGCCTTGCACGGGCGTGGGCCAGGCACAGTGCCGTCCTTGGCACACGTGCGAAGCTAGATGAGATGAGGGATGTGGCAGGTTTCATCCAACTTCACACGGGAGGGAATGATTTCAAACCACTTCATGAGCTGCTTCTTGGGAATCAGCATTTCAGTTTTTTTCCTGGACACTTGTTCTAGGTTTGAATTTGTCATCAGCTATTAACACAAACGTAAGAGTCCAAGCTGAAATCTGTCGGACAGAATAATCCGAGAAGGGGCCAGACGCAGGCGTGCGAGGGATCTTTTCCGTTCCCCGGATACCCTGTGAGAGGGAGTGTATGTTAAAGGCTTGTTTGCCGCCTTGCTCATTTTTAAGGCCAGAAGGGGAAAGAAAGGGCGGCAGCTTTTCCGAGAATTTTATGAGCTTATATTTTAAAAACACCTTTGATATTTGGTATATTAATCAAGATCCACGGTCAGCCTGACGCTGCCAAAAGAAATACATAGGAAGCTATTGTGCCAATAACTCCTTATATTTTCCTAATATAATTATCTAACAACTTCAAAAAAATAAAAGGTTAAGTGTTGACATTAAAGTCTTATCCTCACTCGCAAATGTTTCCCTTTGTCCCTACAGTTTCTTTGGGTCCAAGAATCTAGAAACAGCAGAATTCTGAAAAACTTTCCTTAGAATTAAGTAGTCGTGATGGTGGTAGTAAGCTTCTTATCTGATATATCACAAAATAAAAACTGAATAAATTCTAACTGGACCATAGGCAGTAATTTGAACTTCATGGTATATGGCAGGGAAGGGAGTAGATCACTTGCCAAGTCTAGTCACAAAATATTGATCATTTCTTAAAAGCACAAACTGGTTCATGACTTCAAATCCGATGGGATGAAATCATGTCTGGTGTTATCTAAGAGCAGGTGGATTATGTTGTTATCATTTGAATTCTGTCGCATCACTTCATCCGTCTCTGTCACAGTGAGTTACACTGAGTCTGGTAGAACGTATTTTCCTGTAGTTCACACTTGAGCCAGGACTAGAGCCCAGCCTTGAAATTCTACCTTGAGCCTCACCTGACACTCACTATTTCATTCAGAGCCTTGTATTTGTAGCCTTTTAACTAGTTAGATTTTCAGTAGTGAAAGGTCCCTTCCCAGATTCCAGGTTCCTGCAGTGCTTTTTCTGGTGACCATCTTCTGCTTTGTTCTGTTCAGGAGAGACTGGGGGCGTGGTGGATTCCAATAACCATCCGAGGGTTAAATATGATGTGGTGGCCTCACGTCTCTGGTCAAGTGTTGGGGAAAATTTTCATTGATTTAAGTAGGTGTTACAGCTCCGTAAAGAATGGCCCTGTGTTTGGCAAGAGAGCAAGTATGGAAACTCTCCTCACAGCCAAGTGTGCAAGAGTAAAGTAATCGGTTCACGTAGAAGGAAATGATTTTGACAGATTGGCACTCTTGGGGAGCGGGAGGCAGCCACCAGAGTCGGGATCCCAGCGCTCGCACCCCGCGGCGGAGGAGCCCCTGGCAGTGGGGAGCGGCTTTCTGTGAATGAAATGCTCGTGTCGCATCCGGTCCTTTGATCACTGTGTCGTCTCCTGTGTCGTTCGACCGGTAGATCCGATGTGTCCCGTCAACCCTCTGCTTTGTCCGCCCTGTTTAGACGTGGAGGTAGAGCAGCCCGGAGAAGAGAAGAAGGAGTGCTACTACAACCTCAACGACGCCAGCCTCTGCGACAACGTGCTGGCCCCCAACGTCACCAAACGGGAGTGCTGCTGCACCTCCGGGGCCGGGTGGGGCGACAACTGCGAGATCTTCCCCTGCCCGGTGCTGGGCACCGGTAAGCACCCGCGCAGCGGCGGCTGGCCCTGTCCCCGGGGCGGTGGAGCGTCTCTCTCGGGCCACCGCGGTAGAGCTTGGCCATGCTGACGCCCGCTGGTGGTGCCGGGCTCGGAATCCGAGGGAGATCCCCCGATAGTGAGTTCCATTCAGATCTGGAAAAGGCACTTTCATCCCACCTCAGGGTGAATTCCTAGAGTTCTTTCCATCGCCGACTGTGCCGTTACAGTGAGGTTCAGTATTATATTTGGCAGGAGGATAGTTCAGTTTTATTCCATTTTTAAAAATGGAAACCAATCTTTTTTTTTTTTTTCACGACGACACAGCGTGATCCATAACTAGGGATTGCATGTTTAAGCTAAGATTTCGCTTGATGGATTCCTATTAAAACGTTAAAATGCTAGAGACCACAGTAATGGAGAAGTAAGTCGTAACACCAAGTAAAACATGGGTAGGTAAAATATGGGTGAACTAGGAAGGTTTTTTAAAAAATTATAAATAAACCTCTGAAGTCATTAGTTTTTTTGGGGGGGTGGGGGGTTGCACCTAATCCATAATTTTTGAGATTGTACTGAATTTATTTGCCTGAATTGGATGGCAAAATTTGTACTTTAAAGCTGCTGAGTCCTGGGGTGGGACGGGGGCTGGGTGGAGGGGGCAAGAGTGGGGGAAATGACAGACGGCGATAATACTGTCAACAAGTTAAAAATAGTAATAAGATAAAATGCGATACAATGCACATTCATGGGAAATGTTGATGTTTTCCTCTTTTTAACTTCTTTCTTTTTTTTCTCATCTCTCCTGAAATCAGCTGAATTCACTGAAATGTGTCCTAGAGGGAAAGGCTTTGTCCCCACTGGAGAATCCTCTTACGAAGATGGTGGCAGGGACTATAAAGGTCAGAATCCAGCAGGAACGGATTCGCAATGTGTGTGCACACCAGGCATTCGAATAAAAGCATGGCCGGGTTAGGCAGCATTACAGTTCTTTCGCGCCCTGGAAACTGGTTACAAAGCCTTTATCCTGCCCTTCGAGGGAAGTCCCTGTGGGTCCGGGCAGAGCCGTGCGTGGCCTGGGAGTCAGAACACTTAGGGCTGCGTGGCCTAAGGCTGGTGGCCGCGGGACGTCACACAACCTTCCGAGTTTGCAGCTCTGAGATGGGAACGGTGTCTCAAAAGTTATCATGAGGATTAAATGAGATAATATATGTAAAAGTGCCAAACACAGAATCCTGTACTTAATAAATGTATTCTTTTATTCCAGAAGCATGTTAGACATTTTATGTTACGACAGTAAATTTTATCATCATCATGGTGACCTTTTTTTTTTTGAATCCTTGCCTGAGGATATTTTTCCCATTGCTTTTCAGAGAGAGTGGAGGGAGGAGAGAGAGAGAGAGAGAGAGAGAGAGAAACATTGATGAGAGAGACACACATCGATTGGCTGCCTCACACACGTCCCGACTGGGACGGGGATTGAGCCTGCAACTGAGGTTTGTGCCCTTGCCTGGAATCGAACCCGAGACCCTTCAGTCCGCAGGCCGACGCTCTAACCACTGAGCGAAACTGTCTGGGGCCAATATGTTGGTCTTCAATGGTCATCAACAGAGCTAACAGCCTGGCTTCTTTAGAACTCATCCTTGTATTGTCAGGACCTCTTATTTATGGCCACAGATTCATAGTAAGGACTGGAAAAGAAGGGAGCGGACGTTGGTGTGTTCGATATCTTCAGTGCTATTAGTCTGTGATTCTAAAGTAAAGTGCAGCCTTTTTATTTGGGTGAAATTTAAACCACACGTGTGAATGTTTCCTCATTAACCACTCACTTCTGACATTTTCACGATAGAGATATTAAGTCTTTTTATATATAAAGTGATTTTTTTTTTTCTGTAAAGTTTAATATCGAAAACTGCTAAGTGGATGGAAAACAGACTAAAAACATTTTTTTATTGTTCATCTTTTTTGGAAAAATAGTGTTTTAATAATTTGGTATAATTCAGTAGCTGGGTAAGAAATTCCATATGTGTTTTTTAAATACATCTATGATTTAGTCCGATTAAATAACAAGACTCGGTTAGTGATACGTGTTTAATGGTTTTTCAAGTTCACAAATATTATATACTCCATGTTTGCAGGGACATAATTAAATCTCACTTTATATTTTGGGGTGAAGCCCTGATTTCACCACAAAGTCATCCCCTTTTTTGTAGAAAAATAAAGTTCCTCCTCTCCCTGTCTTAGCAGCGCTGTAAATGGTTGGAAGACTAGTAGGTTCAGATCCAAACAGCCACCTATTTGGACTTGGCTTTGCCATTTTCCAGCTGTATGACTTGGAGCAATTCACCTGTGGAATCTCCAATTTTTAAAACAAGGACCAGGTGACATTAGCTCTAAAGTGTGAGAAGGATGGTAATAATAGCAGCGGTTTAGGTGTAAGTGACGCTTTTAGAGAGTATACTGAGTTCTCTACGTGGACTGTCTGTCACTTAATCCTTCCAGTCCTATCAGGTGGAGGTCCCTGTTATCTCCAACTTACCCCTGGGGATAGTCTTCTCATCTCAGCTAATTAATGGGCCAAAATGCATTTATAGAAGCGCACATTTCTTCAAGCGCATGTCCTTCAGAGTATGTTGTCGGTGCCACTGTGGAATTTCAGAGACCATTCCATCAAATACAAGGGAGCAGCCCAGAAACCGTATTTACAAATATACCTCCCCGAATAACGTGTTGGACTTTGTTCCTTAAATATCACAGACAAAGCCGATTGGGTTCCTACCTCTGTGAATTAGTCCCAACTTTAAGAATTTTGTGTTGCTGTATCTTTAAGAATCTTTGGAATATTAATATTGATTAGATGCTTCTTAACGGAAAGACCAGAGCTAACGGGTCTTTCTGTCGCTCCATTTCCCACCCCCACCCCACCCCCACAGATGCGGATGAATGCCTGCTTTTTGGACAAGAAATCTGCAAGAATGGCTTCTGTTTGAACACTCAGCCCGGTTACGAATGCTACTGTAAGCAAGGGACCTACTACGATCCCGTCAAATTGCAGTGCTTTGGTAAGTTCTAAGGGGACGTAGGGTGCTGCGGAAATACCCAGGTGGAAGAAAACAAGCAATGCTGTGTCGGACAAAAACTATTTTTTTGCATCTAAATCATATGTTGGAAAGATTAGTAAATGTTTTATGGCTCTTTTTCGTGAGCAAGACTTAGGAAAGTAAAGAGCCTCCATAGTGCCGTTTGACTCGATTTCAGACGAAGGGTTACTATTCAGTGTGGAATTATAATTCAGGTCACTGGCTTGAGTGACGTGCTCTCTCGGTCCGGGGAGTCTCCTGCGCCATCGCTCATCCCATGCGAGTGAGAGTCATTTTTAAACACTGACCCAGACTGTAATGCTTAAGCAGAAAACCATGTCCACTAGGCAGAAAAACACAGCAAAAGGAAATAACTTTAAAACTATCCTAGAGTCATTTCATCTTACATGTCTGAGCATATCCTGCTCCTCAACGTTTTCTTTCCTTATTTAACGTCAGCATCGGCAGGACAAGGTCATTTTCCCAATCTGTACAACTTCAGTTTCATGGTCAGGCTCCTCTCTTGGGTAATGACACGTAGTTAACTACACTGTGGCCGCCCCTGGAATCGGGACTGAATTGAGCAGTGTGTAAAGCTGGGTAAGTGTTGAGGCGCAACTGATTACTGATCTCCTTTAACAGTCTTCTCTCTCTTCAGATATGGATGAGTGCCAGGACCCCAGCAGCTGCATCGATGGCCAGTGCATTAACACAGAAGGCTCTTACAACTGCTTCTGCACCCATCCGATGGTCCTGGATGCTTCGGAGAAGAGATGCGTACGGCCAACTGAATCACACGGTGCGTTTGGGGGCGAGATGCGCGTCTGTGTCCAGACAAATGTCACAAGGTTTTCCTTTCGACTCATGTAAGCTGTTGGAAAAGAGGAAAACTGATTCCGTGGGTACTTCTGAAATGGTTAAAATGAGATGCTAAGAGAAATTGTAAAATGCGTATCATCGGTACGCAGGCGATTTTACACCCTCAACCTACTCATGTGGTGGGCAGTAGCCCCAGCTGCTGAGCAGGTGGCAGAGCTGTGCCATGCTGAGGTGCATCAGCTTACCCTTCAGAGGCCGCTGAGGACGGTGTCGGTTCAGGGGAAGGTCATTTTGTTTCCAGATTGCACTGGGGGACCCAGGGGAAGCTGGGCAGAGCAGAGGGTAGAGTTCAGCAAGGAGCCGGAGGGCTCCGAGGCCCATTGACAGGAATCCCTGTGCCTCCCTCACGAGCTGATCTGCCATGATAGCTGGTCTGATCGATCAGCCCGTCTGAAATCAGCTGAAAGGTAGAAAGGGTGGGATGGAGGACTCCAGGGTGAAGTGTCACTTAGTCCAAGGCTTTGGCAGGTGGAATGGGTGAGAAAGCCTGAGTCCAAAAAGGAGTATGTAGAAAGAAACGGTGGGATTTGACAGAGGGGTAAGTGTGAGAAAGGAAAGACTGAAAGAAGGAGAGGTCCCAGGAATGCAAAGCGCAGGCAAGGCCGTGGGGCTTCACGCAGCGATGGCGGCTATTCAGGCAGGGACGGGGCGTGACGTTGGGGCGCGAGGGGCCGGTTGGTCTCAGCTGACGGAGTGACACCAGGTGGAAGTGACGCGGGCTCGATCCGGGAGAGGACCAGGCCGGCGTCAGGCCTCTACTGGGACGTCACTCTTAGAAAGCGGGGAGCAAAGGCGGGGCCTCGCCGGCCTCCGCCCCGGCGTGCGGGAGGCGGGAGCAGCGGTGCCGTCGTCGCGGACCCACGCCTTCCCTTTCAGAGCAAATCGAAGAAACGGACGTGTACCAGGACCTGTGCTGGGAGCACCTGAGCGACGACTACGTGTGCAGCCGGCCCCTCGTCGGCAAGCAGACGACCTACACGGAGTGCTGCTGTCTGTATGGCGAGGCCTGGGGCATGCAGTGCGCCCTCTGCCCCATGAAGGACTCAGGTGAGCCCTGCCCCTCATCCCTCTGCCGGGGGCCTTTCGGGACAGGTCCCTGTGCCCTCCTGCGGAGCCTGACGACTCTTTCACTTCTATGCCTTCCCCTTCACTCCTGATCCGTCGCCTCCTCCAGAGGGGCGTGTGTGTGTCAGGAGGGGACGAGCAACGTCCCAGAACCGCCTGGCTTCTGGTGTACCTCCTGCCCGGACCCTCTTTCCGTTTCCCCAGAGGCCGATAAATGACCCAAAGAAACAGGGCAGCTTAGCGGTTGGTGGCGGAGGTCTTTAGGCTCCATGTTTCCTGATACTGTTTTTTTCTGACAACCTTCCTCATTTCTCAGTTTCTACTTAGAGCAAAAAAGCATTAGAGACTATACAAAATTAGACGATAAAAGTCTTCAAATTTTTATGTCAGCCTCTTTGGGAGAAAGAGAAGGGGTTAGACCTGTAAAGGAAGGGGGGGAAGGTAAGTGGAAACGTAGTTGAACGAATCTCCTCTCCTTTCAGCCTCGGCCTGGGGTTAAACCTTTGGTCAGCTGGGGAGGGCGCGGCGGGCTGAGCCCTGGGCTCCGTGCCCTGTCCTCGGGCTGGGGGAGGACCGGCCGGGGCCGCCGGGGCTCTGGGCTGTACGCGGTGGCTGCCCTCTGCTCACCGCCGCAGCTGCTTCCCCCTCGTCAGAGGAAAGCACGCGGCCCTGGCTGGCGTATCATTTTCTCTTCGATGATAAGATCAGTTTGTCGAAGCTAGAAAAACGCTGCGTGTGTAACAAAGTGAACGAGTTCATCATGAACCAAGTCTCAGGACGGTCAGGAGGGGAAGAACTGCTTGAAAAGGGGAAATGCATTGCCTTTTAGTTAATTTAATTAGAATGCAGCTTCCAAGCTGTTCTATAAATTAGCCACCCAAGCCTTTTTCTCCACACGTTAGTTTTGTTATATATTTGCATTTAAGAGAATATTTTAAACTGAAATCCATATCTTCGATCTAAGGCACGCTTTGTGTTTTGTTCTACTCTTCAGCATCTCTGAAATTGCGGGTATCTTGCACTTGATGGCATCCACCAGAGGCCACAAGCCACTTTTTTCGCATTTTAATGTCTGTTATATCAGGATGCATTTTACATTATAATAATAAATGTCTTATATTCCTTTCTAAAAATATTGTGCAAATTTGACACTCACGTCAGTGTTTGAAAAGCCGCTTTCCTTGTACCCTTCTGCCCCTGGATGTTCGGTCTTTAAACTTGTTTCTGTCAGATGGGCAAGAAGGGGATATTAGCAGCTCTTGCTCTTCCTGCCAGGTGGCTGCGGTCCAGTGCATTTTCAGATGGGTCTGAAATGCAGGGATCCTGTAAAACCTACAGTTGCCTAATAGCATCTGAACATGAATTAAGGGTAGACAAATGCAGAAAAAATTGTTCTCATATAGAATGTCCTCCTCTAGACCATTGCTTCGTAAACGTGAATGGGAATGCCAGTTACCTGGAGCTCTTATCAGAAAACAGGGAGGCGTCTGCCTTCCTAACAGTCCCAAGGTGAGGCGGCTGCTGGTCCTCAGGCCCCACGAGCAGCGTTCTAGAGACATCTGACAGCATCCACCTTGATTTTATCAGAACCAGCTCCTGTCGTTACTACTTTTCCAAAGAGGAGGCAAAGTGTGTGAGTTTTAAAACTGGTTTGCTCATCGTTTCTGTCACTGAGCCTTTTACAATATGCTGTCCGTGGGTATCCTGATAGCTGAGGAAGCACCATGCCTGTTTCTGCAGGCCCTGGCTGCGCCCAGCCTGCCGGCTGAACCTCCCCGTTTCCCTGGGAGCAGCACTGCTGTGGGGAGCAGTCAGTTACTGATGGGAACAGGGCCGGAGGAATTGGGGGTAAATCGCAGCCCTCGTCGTCAGCTTTGAGCATGGAAGTGCAGCGTGAAGCGTTGGCTCCGGAGCAGGCTTTCGCACTTCTGGTCCAGCAGGCCCCGGGCACCAACTCTTGCGGAGGCTGCGGCTACGTCTGAGAGAGCTGGGAGCTGGAGGCGGCGAGTGGCTCCTAGCTAGCGTCCTCTGGAGTCAGATGGCGTCCTGCAGACTGGAGCCGCAGGCAGGGGAGCGAGTGCAGGGGGATGGGTGGTGTCGGGGTAACCCGACGTGAGAACTGCGTGGCTGCATCAGTCGGTACACTTCTGGGGGTGCTCAGGACTTCATTCCAGTCCTCAGCTGGAGTCTTGGAGGCCAGCCTGGGCATTAGGAGAAGGTTCCGGGCCATTGAGGGTGGCACTGCAGATGCCACAGTGGGCAGTTTGTTGAAGTGGTCGCACACCGACGGCCTCCCCTCCGCGGCTTCTGCAGGCCTGGGGGGGGGGCTGAACTGCTGGGGGGGACCTCACACCTGAGCCCTTCATCCCGATGTCATGCCAGCCTCGGGGGAAAAAGCCGTTTGGAAGACACCAGGTCAGGAAGAGCAGACCGTTGCACCCGCAGCGTAGATGAGAGGGGGTGGTTATGCTTGGTCTTTCTGGGGACTTTCAGCGCCGTGCTGGAAGACAGTCACAGGAGTGTCAGAACTTTGAAATCTTTGGTGGAGCTTGTTGGGTTTTCTGTAGGTTGGTTTTCTGTCTCCACCGTAGCCATCAGTGACGATAGCTGGGTTGTATACAGCATCGTACCAGGCGCTGTTCAAAATGCTTCCCATCTATTAAGATAATTTCATTCTCCAAGCCATGCCCTGAGGCAGGGGCATAGTTGCCTCCTTCTCTAGGAGGGCGACTGAGGTAAGNAGCGACTGAGGTAAGGAGGCTGTTCCCTGGCGTGGTCGTCACCGGCGAGCGGCAGGCTCCGATCCCGGCAGCCTGGCCCAACCGCTGCGCATCCTCGCCAATTCAGTTTTCCCCAGCCTCCCGCCTCGAGGTCTCAGAGCTCATCTTAGGTAAATAGTATCCCTTAGAATATAAAAGTAGCCAAGTGAAAAGTGGAAGCTGAGATTTTTTAAAGCTTCTCATGCATTGTATGCCTAGAGAAGAAAAAATCTATGTCTTTAGAGCCAGGCAGTCAGTTTAGCAAGATGAGAGTTTAGCACACTGATGGGCTTAGTAGATAATAGAAATGTGATGATTTACTGGATTAAAGCAAGTCGTTAATTCTTGATAACTGAAATTGTTGACAACCCTTGCCCATATCTAAAATGAGTTTTTAATGCTTTTGTCAACACTTTTAAAAGGATAAAATTAAAATTTCTGGAAAATGTACCTATGGATTACAAGATACGTAGGGTGCCATTATCTCATGGGAATAAAAACCTATTGACTTGTAAATGAAAGAAAATTAGACACATTTAAACACTGGAATCTAAAGTACCCAGGGATCCCAGTGTCTTGGTTATCGTGTTAAAATAATTATACTTCTTTTAAGTAAATTATTAAAATAATTAGACTTAGTGTAAGTAAATTGAACCTAATGACTTGAGAAAGTCTTGATCTAAAATTTTGAAGTTAAATTTTCTCTATGGGAAGCTTAGCGTGTTGGGAGAGTGCCACCTATAGGTGGTTAATGTACTGCATCACAGGTGTTCTAACCCTAAGTATTTTTTGTTAGTTTGTTTAAAATACTACAAATGTCCCTTTTTCTCCCCAATGACCCGTCCCATCCCCCTCGGCAGTCCTTCTCCCCACCATCGTTCGTGTCCTTCGGTTGTGCATATAAATTCTTTAGTTACTCTCTCTCCCTCCACCCACCCGCCCTCCTCCATCCCTCTGACATTCGTCAGTCTGATTTGTGCTTCCATGTCATTGAATCTATTCTGCTCATCAGTTTATGTTCTTTAGGTTCCACATATAAGCGAGATCATGTGATGTTTGTCTTTCTCTGCCTGGCTTATTTCACTTAGCATAATTTTCTCCAGGTCCATCCATACTGTCCCAAAGGGTACAAGATCCTCTCTTTACAGCTGCATAGTATTCCAAAACCCTAAGGATTCTTAATGAAAGTCAGGCATTGAAAGGTGAGAGCTGTTTTTTAAAAAAATCTCGAAGGAAACAGAAGTGCCACAAAAGAAACTGGTACATGTTTAAAAAGTTTTGTAAAACAAGGGCATTGAGTGGGATGCAGAGGCATGGCCCCTCTCTGTTCTGCTGAGAGAACAGATATATTTGACTGAAAAAACTTCTAGTTCTGGGAATACAGATTAGCCTTGGACTTGACTGCCAGGAATAAAAATATAACCATTACAGCATAAGAAAAAGTTGAAATCACGTCTCTCAGTAGGGAACTGGTTGATAATTTTTGGTTCACCCGTACAGTGGAAAATACTATACAGCCTTTTTTTTTTTTTTTTTTTTAAGGAGACATATCTATAGATTGTAATACAGAATTATGTCTAATCCTAATTTTTTTAAAAGGCAAAAAACAACATGTTTATTAAAGAATTATATGCAAGGTGCAGTTAGGAGTAAGAACCATGCCTGAAATGCATTCTGAATTATTTATAATTTACCTGTTTTCAATTTTAGTTAAATTACTTACATATTCCTTCATTTCATTATTTACTGTACACCTGTTATGTACACTAGGCAACAAGTTTTGAAACAGATATGCAGTTTGTATTTACATGAAATTTACAACTTAATTCTGTAAAATAACATACCATACAATTACGTTGTATTGCTAAGTTAGAATAGTTTATCCCTAAATATTGTCTCATTTAAATGTGCAAGTGATTCTTATTTAACACATTTATTATTCGCTATGACACAAAATGTTGGGGTACTTCCTAACAGCCAGTCTACCCCCAGTGTTTTCATCAGTTTCCATAGAAGTGACAGAACCTGGAGCCTGCGCTTGAGCAGCTGAGCTCGTGACCTCGCCCACGTCCGTGCCTGGCTGGCCGCGCGGGGCTCACACGTTCCCGAAGGTCGCGGTGTGAGGACTTTCATAATACCCTGGGAGGTGCGCAGGAAGACGGGGATTTGACTCATGGACTAAACTTGAAAAAATATTGTAACTGGGCAGTGGTTGCACAGGCC